TGACCCCATTCCTAAAACCTGGGGGGTGCCGGGGGGGGGGGAGAGATACCTGTGCCTTCAGACCCCGACTCTCCTTTGACCACCCGCAGCCCCGCCCTCGTTTGTGGAGTGGCCCGAGAGCTTGACGCGGCCTCGGGCCGGCACTGCCCGCTTTGCGTGCCAGGCAGAGGGCATCCCGGCGCCCAGGGTGGCGTGGCTGAAGAACGGGCGGAAGGTCCATTCCAACGGCAGGATCAAGATGTACAACAGGTGCTGGCTGGCGGGGGGGGGGCTCGGAGACCCTGGGGAGGGGCCAACCACTAGTGCTCCCTCTCAGCTGCGGAGTCCTGTGAGCAGAAATCCTGCCTCCTGAGCTCCTGGCATGCAAGTGCTGAGCGAGCCATTCGGCTGCTGCATAGATTAGTTTGCTCTGGAGCCCCCTCCGTCCTGAGCTGAGACAAAAAGGTGTGAGCCGGAGGCTAAGAAGCTCACTCGGCTGAGAGGGAACGCTGCCAGCAGCCCTGATGGGGGGGTGGGGCCAGGTGTGGGGGGGCTGGCCTGACGGACGGCCTCCTGGCCAGGGAAGAGGGGCAGGGCTCTTCTTTTCCATTTCCTCAGTTTCCCCCCTCCCTCCCTTTCAGAGGCCCCTGGGGAGTGTGTGTGTGTCTTTCCCTTTCCCAGGGTTAAAATTTCCCTCCCCAGGACCGTGTCTCTGATTTGAGGAGGGGAGGCGCCCCCCAGCTGGCGTCGGGAGAGTTGTCAGGCTCTCGGTTGGACACAAGTCTAATCTCGGTGTGGGCGGGTGGGGAGGGGCCCCGTGTGTGTGGAGGGGCATCATCCATCCATCGGGCCCTTGGAGCGGTGCTGAAGGTCTCCTCCTCTCCTCCTCCTCTTTGTGTCCAGCAAGCTGGTGATCAACCAGATCATCCCCGAGGACGACGCCATCTACCAGTGCGTGGCGGAGAACAGCCAGGGCTCTGTCCTGGCCCGGGCCCGCCTGACGGTGGTTCTGTCCGAAGACCGGCCCAGCGCCCCCTGCAACGTCCACGCGGAGACCATGTCGAGCTCCGCCATCCTCCTCGCCTGGGAGAGGCCGCTGTACAACTCGGACAAGGTCATCGCCTACTCCGTCCACTACATGAAAGCAGAAGGTAAACGGGCCAGCGGTTGGTTGGCGGGGGGGGTACCCTTCCCTTCCTGGGGGCTTCGGATGCCGCGTGTTGTCGGAGGCTCTGGGTCCTGTTTGTCCCCGCCCTTTCCACGATTATGCCTCCGCCGTAATGTCTTGGCTCGACGCAGTGGTTGCCTGGCTTTGGACCCTCTGAGCTGGACTACTTCAGTGTGCAGTACCTGGGGCTGCCCTTGGAGGGCTTCGGCTAGTGTAGGGCCTGGATTATTCCGTGATCCTAGAATTCCAGATCTGCCCCGGCTGGCTGCCGCTTGCTTCGGGGCACCTTTAGCCAGAGGCCTCTCTGTGCCTGGTCTCCCACCCGCTGCTTAGCAGATACCCGTTGGAAGGGGCTTTCCCCAGAGAATTGTGGGGCACACTGGGCGGGGTGAGAATTTTAACTGACGTGGGCCGGGGCTGGCTCACACTAACTCAGCTGAGAAGGGAACACTGGTCCCAACCAACACTCCCTCTCAGCTGCGGAGTCCTGTGAGCAAAAAACCTGCTTTGTGAGCTCCTGGCATTAAAGTGGTGAGCGAGCTATTTGGCCCCTGCACCAATTAGTTTGCTCTGCAGCCCTCTCCTTCCTGAGCCAAGACAAAAAGGTGTGAGCTGGCTCACACTCACTCAGCTGAGAGGGAACACTGGTGGGGACTGCGAGGGTGCAGGGGGGTGGGGGGAGCCTGCCCGGGCGGTGGGATCTGGCCTCCTGTGGGGGTGCTTTGGGTGTCAGAGGGCTTCTCCCTCTTTCTTCTGGCCAAGCAGCACGTGCAAATGGCCCTCTGCCTGCCTTCCTCCTTGGATTGCCTTCCCTCTCCTCCTCCTCCTCCTCCTCCTCCTCTCGGGCAGGCAGATAAAAGCCAGCATTGAATGGAGGGGGCTTTGGAGGGGCCCCAGGAAGCGGACAGGTGTCTCCTGGGAAGATGTGTGGGGAGGGGGGGAGGGTCCGGAGGCAGCAGGAAGAAAGAGAGGGGTGTGTGTGTGTGTGTGCCCGGGTGTGTTTTGTTGGGCTCATTATGCCAGGGCTCTGGGGGCTGGGCCTCTTCTCCTGGGCCTTTCAGGCGGGTCTCCGCAGGGGGGCAGGGCGGCCATTCAGGGATGGGCGGAGCTCCCTTTGACTGGGGGCCCCGGATCCCGTGTAGCGGGTCAGAAATCGTGCCAGGCTGTTCCTAATTAACGAGCCATTAATTAGCGTGTTGTGAGATGCCCGATAATCTTGTCTAATTAAAGGGCTATCCAGTGAGTTCAGAATGGTGGGAAAACCGACTCCTGGAATTTCGGCCTGTTGAGAAGTTTTGCTCTTGAGGTGGGGGAGGGCGCAGCCTGCCTCGAAAGGAGGTTGTTGTGTGTGGGGGGGGGGGGCAAGGAGGCAGGTGAGCCTCTCTGGCTTTCCAGCCCCCACCCCCTCGCCCCATGGCAGGTAATGAATGGGGACCCAGCCTGCGACTTATGCTCCTTGGCTCATTCCCACAGGCTCCTTAAGGAGCCCACCCCCCAAAAAAAAACCTCAGCCGTGTTGAATGTTGAGAGCTGTCCTTGCCTGTCAGTCAAGAGGCTGGGCCCCTGCTTCTGGGCCATGAGCCACCTTTCTGGCCCGCCCGGTCAGGCCGTTCGGAGTCCACTGAGTGCCCCCGCCTCTTGGATGCTGCTGCTGTTGCTGGGGGCTTTGTTGTCCGGGGGGGGGGCACAGATCAGAGCGGATGGAGTCTCTCTGGCCAGGCAAGTCCAAAGTGCCCTCCTCCATCCCACGGCGCAGGGCCTGCGTGCCCAGGTGGACTCCCACGTCTGGGTGTTCTGGGACCTAGCCTTTCGGCGCAGCCTTGAGCCTTGTGACAGGACAGTCCCGCCAGGCTGGCCCCGGGGGTTGCTGCCCCGGGACCCGTCCTCCCGCCTCTCACTGCTCCGTCTCCGCCCCTGCTTTCTGCTCTCCAGGCCTGAACAACGAAGAATACCAAGTGGTGATCGGCAACGACACCACCCACTACATCATCGATGACTTGCAGGCCGCCAGCAACTACTCCTTCTACATTGTGGCCTACATGCCCATGGGGGCCAGCCAGATGTCCGACCACGTCACCCAGCACACCCTGGAAGATGGCAAGTGGGGCTGGGCGGGGGGTGGGGGGGAGCAGGGCGGCCGCTCCGGGCCTCCCCATCTCTGTCGCTTCCTTCTGTGCGGCAGCGAGCCCAGGAAGACGGCCGGCCTCGGGCCCTGTGTGCGGGGCTTTGTTGTCCGGGGTGGGGGGCACAGATTAGAGCAGATGGAGTCTCTCTCTGGCCAGGCAAGTGCTGACGTCCGCCTTCTCCCCGCAGTCCCTCTGAGAGCTCCTGAGATCAGCCTGACCAGCCGAAGCCCGACCGATATCCTGATCTCCTGGCTGCCGATTCCCGCCAAGTACCGGCGCGGCCAGGTGGTCTCCTACCGCCTGTCGTTCCGGCGCAGCACGGAGAGCACCGTCCAAGCGGTGGAGCTCCTGGGCTCGACCTACGAGTACCTGCTCAGGAACCTGAGCCCGGACACCGTCTACCTGGTCCGGATTACGGCGGCCACGCGGATCGGCTGGGGCGAGGCCTCTCTGTGGACTTCCCACCGGACCCCGAAAGCCACGAGTGTCAAAGGTAGGCCACCGCTTCCTCCTCAAGTGGCGTGGAGCCACGCCAGAGCCGTAGCGAGGTGCCCCTTGGGGCCAGCGGTTTCTCGGTTCCAGTAAGTGAGTAAGGCCGGAGGGTCTCTCTCGTGTGTCTTGTTGGCACCGGAGCTTCCTTAAGTCCAGCACTCTCCTAGGGTGAATTGTTCTCTTCTGAGTTCCAAAGGGGTAAGGACCACTGCTTCCTCTTCACTGGTGAAGCAAGTCAGATCCACACCAGGTCTTCCCTGCCAGGCCCCCCGAAACGCAGGTGGGCTGCGCTCTGCGACTTGACCTTGACAGAAAGAAAGAAAGGCCGGTTTCAGAGCGAACTCCGCTGTGTAGCGAAAGCTAACCCTAAGCCTGGCGAGCCGTACCTGCAGACGGAGTTGTCCTTTGTGTTGCCGTGGCCAGTCTAGAGCCTTTGTTTTGCCCTTGTCGCCAGAGAGAGGGGAAGCCAGGCGCCCTCTCGTGCTGAGATGCCGGGGCAGCTGGCCCTCGCGGGGCAGGGGAGCGTTTGCAAAGCGCCGGCTCCGTTCCCGGGGTGTGACACGAGGGTGCGGCCCCTTCTCTCCCCAGCCCCAAAGTCTCCCGAGCTGCGCTTGGAGCCCCTGAACTGCACGACCATCGCCGTGAAGTGGCAGCCGGACCTGGGGGACACGGCCGCCGTCCTGGGCTACAAGCTGTACTACAAGGAGGAGGGCCAGCAGGAGAACGACCCCATCCTGCTGGAGGCCAGCGTCCTGACCCACACCATCAGCGGCCTGGGTGAGTGGGGCGGGCCTCCGGTGGTCCGGTCCGGCCCGGCTCTTCGGCCGTCCTGATTGGGGGGGAGGGGGGGATGCCAGTGAGCCGGGATCCCTGGGGGGGGGGGCTTGGGACTGATGGCTCCCCCCCCCGGCCCGGCATTCTGTGATCGCCCTCTGGCACAGAGGCTCCCGTAGTCTCTAAGAACATAAGAGAGAAGCCGATGTTGGGTCAGGCCAGTGACCCATCCAGTCCGACACTCTGTCTGTCACACAGGGGCCAAAAACACCAGGTGCCCTCAGGAGGTCCAGCAGTGGGGCCAGGAGGACACTGGAAGCCCCTCCCACTGTTGCCCCCCCCCCCCAAGCACCAAGAATACACTTAGAGTTCCTGTCTATACCTTGTGGCTAAGAGCCACCGGTGGACCTCTGCTCCATATGTTAATCTAATTCCCTCTTGATGCTTGTAGCCATGCTTGTAGCCGCCGCCACCTCCTGTGGCAGGGAATTCCATGTGTGTGAATCATTCTTTGGGTGAAGAGGGACTTCCTTTCATCCGTTCTGACCCGACCCACGAGGAGTTGTTGTGTTGATTTGTGTCCTGTTTGTGTGTCAGCTGGTTGTGGGCAGCTTGCTCTAGCAGTGGGCAGATGCGCCGGCCAAGCTGGGCCACACTTTGGTGGGGTGGGGGTGTCTTCGCGGCCTCAGGGGTTCTGATAGAAGGGAACCTTTTCTCTTAAGGGCTCTGCAGCAAAGACCGGTGTGTGTGTGTGCGCGTGTGCGGATGTCCCTTGCGCGTCTAGCTGCCTGGACTTCTGAGGAGCCGGACTCTGGGTCAAGAGGAGGGTGACAGGCTCTTCCACCCCCCACCCCCGGGTCGCAGACCAATCTGCTTTGTCATAAGGGCAAAGAGTCCTTAGAGTGAGATTTCTGACCCCCCCCACCCCACCCCACCCCCAGACTATTGGCTGTGCAGTGGTCATTGAGCCTCTGCTGGGAAATCCAGCCAGTGTTTTGGTCGTAGGGGAACTGCATCTTCCCATCATTCAAACTTCAGGTTTGCTATTGCTTTCTCTTCTAAGCAGTGCTACGTGTGGTCTCTGGTATACTCGCTGTAATGTGCCTGCTTGTGGACAGGCATCTATTGGCTAGCGGCTGTGATGTCACTGTGGTTAGGAATTGGGAATGTTAATGTTTTTGATCCTCTCTAGAAGTTTTGTTGTGTTATATGTGTGTGTGTGTGTGTGTGTATTTAGAGATGCCCTTAAAAGGATGGATGGATGGATGGATGGATGGATGGATGGATAGAGCAATATTGTGGGGGCAGGGCAAAGAAAAGAAAAAGAAGAGATAGGATTTATACCCTGCCCTTCACTACCCAAAGGGCTCTCAGAGGGGCTTACAAACTCATTTCCTTTCCCCTCCCCAGAACAGACAAACACCCTGTGAGGTTGGTGGGGCTGAGAGAGCTCTTGACAGAAATGGCTCTTTTTCAAGGACAGCTCTTGTCAGAACTACGTATTGCCCAAAGTCATCCAGCCAGGTGCAAGTGGAGGTGGAGTGGGGAATCAAACCCGGTTCTCCCAGATTAGAGTCTGTGCTCCTAACCACGACACCAAACTGGCTGTACAGTAGCACCAGGCAGTTCCGTGCTTGTGTGCTGCCAGAATGGATTGTCCTCTCCTGGGTGGGACTGACTGGAGAACTTACTGAAGAATCTGCCTTGATCCAAGAACATAAGGATCCGATCAGCATCCTTTTCCACACAGCGGCCAACCAGTCGCCCTGAAGGCCAACAAAAACAGGGCTTGGAGGCCAAAGGAAACGGGAATCTCTGCGCTGAAGAGGAGATATTCGCGAGGGGCTGTGTGACGGCCACCTTCCGATCCCGAAAGGGATGCCATGGGGAGGATGGGGCGGAGAGGTTTCCGTTGTGCCGAATGACAAGACTCGAGGGAATGGCTGTGAACTTCAGCAAAGGACGCTTTGTCTAAATCTGAGGAAGACCCTCCTGCCTGCAGAGCGTGTGGGCACCGGAACAGCCTCACCCGTGAGGTGGTGGATTCTTTGTCGTTGGAGGTTCTGAAGTGTTGATTGGATCCCCGCTTGTTGGGTCGTTGAAGCTTCTGCGCTGGCAGGGGGTTGGGGGCTAGATGACCCTGGTGGTGGTCCCCTCCCAATTCTGAGATGACGTAGAGAAAGCCCTCCCCTGGCGTGGTGTCTCTGCCGTGGCCACCAGAGGTTTCCTGTCTCTGTAGACATGCCTCACCACCACGGCCCCTCCGTGAAGATCTCTCACCGCCCTCTTAAGGGCTCCCCGTGCCCCTGGCCCTCAGGACCTTCACTGCTGGCAGGGAAGGCCGCAGTTTAATGACTCACTGAGTAAAGAAGCATCTGTTTCCTCATGTCCCTCCTGAAGGCGTTTCTCCACAACACCCGTTGCTGCGTGCCACCGACTTCTCTTGTTCCAGGAGAGGGAGGAGAAACCCTGTCCGCTCCTTTCAGGACACTGTGAACGCCCTCCTCGCTTGTCATCATTCTAAAAGGAAAGTTGTCTGTATCTCACTCCGGTCAAGTGGCTTCTGGACCCCTCCTCTGGACCCCCCCCTTGTGATCCCTCCGGATCCTCTCCAGAGAGACCGCCTGCCCCATCTGGCAGCAGGACGCAGGCCGGAGGACAAAAGGGGAGCGGCCAGGGAGAAGGGGGTGCCTCCTGGCTCCGGTTGGGGCTGCGTTGATCTGCCTCCTGATTCTGTGCACCGCAACGCGCAGGACCTGCCCGCCCGCCGCCCAAAGACCTGCAGATTCACACTCCGAAAGAAAGAGCGTTGCTGTCACCAGGCACAGAGCCTGGCACAGGGTCCCCCTTCCTGCTTGGCAGCCCAGGGCCATCTGCCTACTGAAGGGAGGAAGAGGTGTCTCTCCCCCGCCCCCAGCCACAGCCCCATGTGGTTTGTGGTCTGGGGGCTTTGGGGGCTTCTCTCTTGTTGCAGGGGCGTCTCCCCATGGATCTCTCGGAGGCCCCTGTATTTATCTTTGAACAATTATTTGACCTCTCCCCCCCACACACACAAACACACGCCACACCAGTGGGGCAGAGAGCTGTGACCGGATGTTGGAATGCCCCTCTTCAAACAAATAGCGGCTCTTTCTCTCTCCTGCTCCCTCTCTCAGTTACGTGTATTTATGTTGCAGGGGGGACCCCCCCCCCAGCATTTATTTTTCAGCAGGAGGAGACACACACCCCGCCTCCAGCTCCTGTGCAAAATCCCAACCGTTGTGCCGGTTTTGTGCAATAAAAGGGGCAGGCCTTGCTCCGTGGCCCCTTGTGCAGGGTGCTCCCTGGGGGGGCTCCTGGCTGCACCCTCCCCAAGAAAAAACGGTGAGGACAGATGAAAAGGCAGGCCAGCAGGTAGTCTTCCTGGGCCCCCAGGGGCCCCTGGTCTACAAAGGCTCTCTCTTCCTGGGGGAGCCCAGAGGTTCCTTGTGCAGGGAGGAGTTTGGGCGGGGTGTGTGTGTGTTGCGTGCCTGCGTGTTCTAGGCGAGCGGTGGGGAGATGTTGGGATTTGGGGAGGGAGCTCAGGAACTGGCCTTCAGAAGATAGAAGCGTTTGGGCAGGGGGTTGTTCGCTCTTTAAGAGACGTGTGCTTTTGGGGGGGGGGTTCTGGGAGTCACAGGCGGTGTTTTCCCCTCCCCCCCATGCATTCCTGGAAATTCTGCTGTCCAAGAAGGAGAAAGGGGCCTGTCTTACCACTCCTCCGGTGCCCAGACCAGGGCAGGGTTCAAACGGCTCCGCCGCCTCCATCCCTTTTCCCGGAGAGCTGCCCAGATGCCTGATCTGCCCTGGATCCCTGGGCTTAGCAGGGCCTCTTTGGCTGACGGCTCTTCCTGGAAATGTCCCGGAACCCCCCTCCACTCCCACAGAACAACACCTGCCCGGCCAGCCTGTCATGGAGGGTGGCGGCCCCCCTGCTCTCTCTGATGCTGCGGGACAAGGCCTCCCTCTCAGCTGTGGAGTCTGGAGAGCAAAAAGTCTACTTTGTGTGAGCTCCTGGCATTAAGGTTGTGCGCAAGCAATTTTGCCACTGCATCAATTGGTTTGCTCTAGAGCCCCATCCTCCCTGAGCAAAGACAAAAATCTGTGTGAGCCAGAGGCTAAAAAACTGAGAACTAGCTCACACTGACTCAGCTTAGAGGGAACACTGGTTTCAGGCAAGGCTCCCTCTCAGGTGCGGAGTCCTGTGAGCAAACATTCTACTTGGTGAGCTCCTGGCATTAAAGCTGTGAGCCAGCAATTGGGCTGCTGCATCAATTAGTTCGCTCTGGAGCCCTCCTTCCTGAGTGGAGACAAAAATGGGTGAGCCGGAGGCTAGAAAACTGGGAGCTAGCTCACACTCACTCACCTTGGAGGGAACGCTGCTGAGGGATATGGGGATGACCAAGACGCTTTAGGGAGTGGGAGGCGGGTTTCCGCGAAGGGAGGTCCTGCTTCCCCAGCCTTCTCCTGCACAAGCCCTCCGTAACCGAATAGGGTGGGTGTGGAGGTACTGTCCCCCCCCACTTTGAAGATTGGGGAGGCCCTCGCAAGAGCAAAAGAGCTTCCTGGGCAAGGAGCCCATCCAGTGTTCCCTCTAAGCTGAGTTGGTGTGAGCCAGCTCACAGTTTTTTAGCCTCCGGCTCACACATTTTTGTCTTTGCTCAGGAAGGATGTGGCTCCAGAGCAAACTAACTGATGCAGCAGCCAAATGGCTCGCTCACCACTTAAGTGCCAGTGGCTTCACCGAGTAGAATTTTTGCCCACAAGATTCCACAGTTTAGAGGGAGCCTTGGGCCCACCCCCACCCCCGCCCCAGAGCTAAAGAGTGCAAGAAGCGGAAAGAAGAGTTGAGCCCAGGTCTGATGAGGGCGGGGAGATGATGCTTCCCTACTCTCCTCTTAGAGCAGGGAGGTCACTTCCTACCATGGAGCAGTTCCTACCAGTTGGATCTAGAATTTCAGTCCTCCCATCCTGCAGAGCTCCAC